CGATCTTCAGGAGTGAAGTGCTTCCCCATCTGGAGTACTGTCACCCCATCTGGTCCCCGAGATATGCTAGGGACTGTCAGTTGGTTGAAAATGTTCAAAGGAGGGCCACCAAGCTGGTGCCTGCACTTCGGCATCTCAGCTACCCTGCGAGATTGGAGCGCCTGAACTTGCCTAGCTTATACTACAGACGGGCAAGGGGGGACCTAGTTGAGGTTTATAAGCATCTCAGGGGGCACTACTCAGTTGAGTGTCCTTACTTGGAGCTGGCGGACGCTCGCCCCACAAGGGGTCACAGCTCAAGATTGAAGAAGCCGCAAGTCCGGAAAACCGTGAGGGCAAACTTTTTCGGAGTGAGGGTTGTAAACTCTTGGAACAATCTACCAGAAAGTGTTGTGACGGCACCGAGTGTGAGCTCTTTCAAGAGAAGACTTGACCAACACTGGAGCGGGTTCAGGTACATTCAGGAGCCGGTGCATGCCCAGTATTTGCCAACAGTGCGTGACAGAGACGTGACCGATCGCCCGGGCGGCTAGCGAGCCGACCTTTTGGTGAAGAATATAAAGGAAAAGAGTCGTGACCGATCGCCCAAGCGGCTAACAAGCCGATCAGTGGCGAAGAGGATAAAAGTAAAAGTAAAAGTATAACAGGTGGTGGAGTGAGTCGTACAACCAGTTGACTCAACAGCTGGTTATACGACACACCGGAAGATGGTTCTGACCCACTATGTGATACTCTGTCTACTGTACATGTTGTCTCCCTTAGTGTACAAGTTGTCTCCCATGGTGTACATGTTGTCTCCCTTAGTGTACATGTCTTCTCTCATAGTGTACATGTTGTCTCCCATAGTGTACAAGTTGTCTCCCATAGTGTACAAGTTGTCTCCCATAGTGTAACTGCTGTGTCCCTTAGTGTACACGTTGTCTCCCTTAGTGTACACGTTGTCTCCCTTAGTGTACACGTTGTCTCCCTTAGTGTCATGTTGTATCCCTTACTGTACATATCTCCCTTAGTCTACAGTAACTCATCATCATCACCAGTATGAGTGAGGGACGCTGGTGAGGTACAGTAACTCATCATCATCACCAGTATGAGTGAGGGACGCTGGTGAGGCACAGTAACTCATCATCATCACCAGTATGAGTGAGGGACGCTGGTGAGGTACAGTAACTCATCATCATCACCAGTATGAGTGAGGGACGCTGGTGAGGCACAGTAACACCGCCTCGTCGTGGGAACTGTCACTCTCAGTTACATGATTTACATATCAGCTTTCGTGTGTGTGTGTGTGTGTGTGTGTGTGTGTGTGTGTGTGTGTGTGTCAACATCAGTCTCAGTCATTGACAACTGGGACAACTTTTATGGCAGAAGGAACATTTATACTGGGGATGGGGTGCAATTACTTATGAATGGGGTGGAAACCCTGGCAAGATGTCTCAAGGGGGAAGTTCAAAAGATGTCGAAGGGAACACGAGAGCACAGGGGCCGTGGAGACTGCAGCGGGCACAGGGATACATAACGAAAGGTTATAGAAAAATCGTGGTAGGAATATAGATAAAGCAAAGAGAAGACTCAGGTCCAAACTAACTTAAATGTCAACTCGATATTAAATGTTCTAGTTATTTTCACATTGATAGGCAGATTGTGAGAGGAGGCCGGGTAGTGGACGACGTCAGGATTGAAGTATGGAATAAAAAAAAAATAAAAGATGCATTCATAGGAGTCTTATGCCATAACTTAGCAACTTGAATTACGTTAAAAATGAATATAATAATGAGGGCACATATGGCACAACAAAAAATACAAATTGGCAACTCAGCACAACTTAGTCCTTAATGTTTATCACTTAAAATTAATGTTATTTCAAAACACGACAAACAATGTTATATGTAAAAGTTACAAAAACAAATAAGAACGAAAGTGTGCGTCATGTGTTCAATCACAGCCCTCTTACTTTATCACAACAGTTCTGGAGTGAAAGTTTGGAATTATACACGTCACGAAAAATTTTAATAGAATTTAGTAGCAAAAGTGTACCATAATAAATGTGCATGTTACATAATGAATGGAAAAATTAAATCAAGGGAATAAATAACATACATAATTACTGGCTTTGAAAATATTAAGCATATTAACATTCTTTTCATCAGTTTTCGAATCGGTGGACGAGGGGCACAATTATGATGTGGTATATCGCAACTTAAGCAAAGCCTTCGACAGAGTCCCCCACGAAAGACTAATTAGAAAGGTAGAAGCACATGGCATCAAAGGTAACATCCTTAAATGGATTAGGGCGTGGTTACAGGACAGGAAACAGCGAGTGAGCATTAACGGTACTAAATTCGATTGGGGTAACGTCACTAGTGGAGTACCCCAAGATCTTTAACTACCATGTACATCAAATGAACATACACGACGAACCACATGACGGAATAGCAATGGCTATAAAACTCAACATACAATACAAAATCATTGACAACTTTCAAAGTAACTTTCTTGCAGCCGAAATAAATACAACAAGAGGCCCAATAACTATTGGAACTTCATATCTAACATTCAGAAGGCCAATGTTCCTTACAGGGGACATCTTAAACTAATGAGGCAAAACAATCCAGCATAGGAGACCTCAATGCTAAACACACAACCTTAGGACACAGTATTAGAAACCCAGGAGGAAAAATCCTCCATGCTCTCATCGAACACGGGACAATAACACACCTCGGGCCCGACTTCGCAACTTACGTATCAGCCGGTAACTCTGGGAAACCAGACATTGTTTTAACCAATAGGCATCACCATCTAAAAGCTGGACCCACAACAACCAGTGATCATCTACCCATAATAGCAACTCTATCCAAATCCCCGATACAAATTCCATCAATCCCAAGATTTTCACTCAATAGAGCAAATTGGGAAAAATTTAAATCGGATCTTAGCAACAACGAACCAACACTACTACACAACAAAGACACAACAGAGATTGACAAAACACTGGATACATGGTACAATGAAGTAATAACAGCAATGAAAAACAACATACCGTACATTACCACATGCACAATTAACACATGAAGAGAAAATGATCCAAACTAGATTCATCAATCTATATGAATACACAAAAACACACGGGTGGAGCAATGACAACAGAATATTATACAGGAATCTAAAAGAAGAACTGAGAGACATAAGCAAGAACAAACACAATGAAACATGGAACAAACTGATCCAGGACACACAAGCAGACTACAAAAATCCAAAAGCATTCTGGAAAAAAATAAAAAACCTAATGGGAACTAATTCGGAAGAAACTAGCTACATAAAGGACAAAAACGGTAGAAAGGCAACAGAACCACACGATAAAGAACCAATATTTAGAGAATACTGGAAAGACATATTCAGAATCAACGCCGAAGACAGTAGAAGCTTCTACCAAGAAACAGAACAGGCAACTAGAACACATTTGAGCCAGAACACAGAGAAATGGAAACCTACTAGGAAAATCAACCTCAATTCATTAAATATTAATAACCCAATAATTGCTCCATTAACCCTAATTGATATTGAAAAAACAATAGCAAGCTTTAAGAACAAAGCTCCTGGCATAAGCCAAATTAATAAAATCGTACTACAAAACATTCCTGAGTCTATGATCGATGTCATGTTTAGTAAGGTCACCCTGTGTACCTAAGCCTCTCGGTCCATGTAATTCAGTTGCCTCTGAAGATGTCTTGAATAAAGACGAAAGCTAAGGTGCTCCGTTGTTTCCCTTTTCCCGTGTGATTTTATCAAGATTTATCTTATCCACGTTTTCATTGTGTATATATATATATATATATATATATATATATATATATATATATATATATATATATATATATATATATATATATATATATATATATATATATATATATATATATATATATATATATATATATATATATATATATATATATATATATATATATCAGTGTTAGTGCGCGTGATCCATTTATGTGTTTATAACCACGTAAGAAAAAATAAAACATGATTCACCAATATTTCTTGTGTTGGTGCGTTTCTTTACTGGGAGTTAGTGAACATGATGACCCTTGAGTTAAGGGGTTGGTAGGTTAACATGATGCCCCTTGAGTTAAGGGGTTGGAGGGTTAACATGGTGACCTTGAGTTAAGGGGTTGGAGGGTTAACATGGTGACCTTGAGTTAAGGGGTTGGAGGGTTAACATGGTGACCTTGAGTTAAGGGGTTGGAGGGTTAACATGGTGACCTTGAGTTAAGGGGTTGGAGGATTAACATGGTGACCTTGAGTTAAGCGGTTGGAGGGTTAACATGGTGACCTTGAGTTAAGGGGTTGAAGGGTTAACATAGTTACCCTTGAGTTAAGGGGTTGGAGGATTAACATGGTGACCTTGAGTTAAGCGGTTGGAGGGTTAACATGGTGACCTTGAGTTAAGGGGTTGAAGGGTTAACATAGTTACCCTTGAGTTAAGGGGTTGGAGGGTTAACATGGTGACCTTGGCAACTAAGAGAACACCTATTAATGTGTTCTCACCCAACGGTGTATGTGTGGGACTGTTGTGTTTATTATAACTATTTTTTTATTATTTCTTCTTTTTATTATTATTATTATTATTATAAAATATTTGGAACATTTTCAATGTTTCCCCAACAGTTGTGAGAGAACTTGTTGTTGGGAAGTCCTTATCGCGGTATATTAAATTATATATTATATTTGGGAAACTTAACTGCGCATGCTGTATCTTATTGCTGTACTTGAGTCTGTAAACAACCGCTGCTGCACCTTAATGCTGTACTTGTGTCTGTAAACCACGGCTGCTGCACCTTAATGTTGTATTTGAGTCTGTAAACAACCGCTGCTGCACCTTAATGCTGTACTTGTGTCTGTAAACCACGGCTGCTGTACCTTAATGCTGGACTTGAAGCTGTAAATCACGGCTGCTGTACCTTAATGCTGTATCTGAGGCACGTCGTCATGTTGCACCCTCATAACACAACACAGCAACAGGGAAGGTCGTCATGACCATGTGTGGTCGTCTCGTCCTCCAAATACGACGTTGTTGGCTTCCTTTTCCTTCTGCCGTCGTCGCTGTCGTTGTCGCCAAACCTGAATCGGTATCTGTCGCTGTCCTGACTGCTGTTCCTGCTGCTGTTGTCGTCTCCAGACTTCCTTCCTCTGCTTGAACTCCACTCATTGCTATCGGCTGTCTTATGGTAAGACGCGTCAAAGCCACCTCCCACACTCTTATTACTGCTACTGTTACTGCTGCTTCTCCTGCCTTTAAAAAGCCCTCCTGGATCACTGCTGATGCTGTTCAGACGGGCGTGATCATTGTAGGAATAGTCAAATCCTTCCCCGCCTCCGCCTTCATTGTCGTCTTCATCTTTCAGCCAACTGCTGCCACCGTCGTGGCAGTTAGTCTCACGTTTGTTGCTGTCCGAGCTGTCAGAACCTGTTCTTCCACAGCCATAACCATAGTCTCTCTTGTAACTGCTGTTACTGCTGCTACTGCGCCTGTCGCTGTAGTAACTGCGTCCGTAGTCTCGCTCGTCACTGTCACTCATCTGCAAAAAGTAACACAACATAAATGTTATCGTTAAATTAGTTCATCCACATTTTAGGTCAATATTAATATGACATACGCTATGATGTGGCACAGAGGAGACACAGTGTGTCATATGGCACAGAGGAGACACACTGTGTCATATGGCACAGAGGAGAAACACTGTGTCATATGGCACAGAGGAGAAACACTGTGTCATATGGCACAGAGGAGACACACTGTGTCATATGGCACAGAGGAGAAACACTGTCATATGGCACAGAGGAGACACACTGTGTCATATGGCACAGAGGAGAAACACTGTGTCATATGGCACAGAGGAGAAACACTCAGCATGGCACAGAGGAGACACACTGTGTCATATGGCACAGAGGAGAAACACTGTGTCATATGGCACAGAGGAGAAACACTGTCATATGGCACAGAGGAGACACACTGTGTCATATGGCACAGAGGAGAAACACTGTGTCATATGGCACAGAGGAGAAACACTGTGTCATATGGCACAGAGGAGACACACTGTGTCATATGGCACAGAGGAGACACACTGTCATATGGCACAGAGGAGACACACTGTGTCATATGGCACAGAGGAGAAACACTGTGTCATATGGCACAGAGGAGACAACACTGTCATATGGGCACAGAGGAGACACACTGTGCTCAATGGCATGCACAGACAGAGAAACACTGTGCCATGGCACAGAGACACACTGTGTCATATGGCAGAGAGAAACACTGTCATATGGCACAGAGGAGACACACTGTGTCACATGGCACAGAGAGAAACACTGTGTCATATGCAGAACAGAGGAGCACACACTGTGTCATATGGCACAGAGGAGACACACTGTGTCATATGGCACAGAGGAAAAACACTTACATGGGCACAGAGGAGACACACTGTGCTCAAGGCACAGAGGAGAAACACTTGTCATATGGCACAGAGGAGAAACACTTGTCATATGGCACAGAGGAGAAAACACTGTGCCATATGGCACAGAGAGACACACTGTCATATGGCACAGAGGAGACACACTCTGTCATATGGCACAGAGGAGAAACACTGTCATATGGCACAGAGGAGAAAACACTGTCATATGGCACAGAGACATCACTAATAGGAACAATGGCGGTACAGAGGAGAAACACCTTCGTCACATGGCACAGAGGAAAACACTGTGTCATATGTATACAGAGGAGACACACTGTGTCATATGGCACAGAGGAGAAACACTGTCATATGGGCACAGAGGGGAGACACACTGTGTCATATGGCACAGAGGGAGAAAACACTGTGTCATAAGTGGCACAGAGGAGAAACACTCAGTCATATGGCCAGAGGAGACACACTGTCATATGCGCAGAGGAGACACACTGTGTCATATGGGCATGAGGAGAAAACACTGTCATATGGCACAGAGGAGAAACACTGCCATATGGCACAGAGGGGAGACACATAGTGTCATATGGCACACAGGAGACACACGGTGTCATATGTCATAGAGGGAGACACACTGTGTCATAAGTGGCACAGAGAGAAACACTGTGTCATATGGCACAGAGGGGAGAAACACTGGGGTCATATGGCACAGAGGGAGACACACACTGTCATATGGCACAGAGGAGACACACTGTGCTTCATATGGTACAGAGGAGAAAAACACTGCTTTATGGCACAGAGGAGAAACACTGTCATATGGCACAGAGGGAGACACATAGTGTCATATAGCAGCATACAGGAGACACACACGGTGTCATATAATATAGAGGAGACACACTGTGTCATATGGCACAGAGGAGACACATCAGTCACATGACTACTTACTACTTTGCTGTCACTCGGAAACGAGTATGACGATCATCCAGCTATGAGGCAATGATGAGTTGCTGGGGATGTCACCTAGGTTGGTGAGTTCGAGGTGACTAAAGAGGCCGACAGATGTGTATCAAGTAGAGTCGCTCACATAAGTTGTACGGCGTGAATGGCTCCATTTAGTACCGAGGCAGCGGCAGCGTATTTCCGGCGCTGGCGCTTGTCTGCCCTGGTTTGGTGGTGTCGGGCTAGCAATACGCAACTGAACGAAGCACTGA